CCGTCAGCTGTGGCGTTCCTGTTGTCATTTCTTATCAGGCCAGAATGCTTGAAATAGCATGTATTCACAGTTGGATCGTGTACTCTGTGTGTTGACCATAGAGGTTTACGTTCTTTGCCTCCCTCTAGTTAGGCCTAAACGCTGTCCATATTGTACTTTCCCACTCACTTTGTGTACATTGAGGAGTTGGCAGCGGTCAGCGAATTTCACTTCTTTGTATCTCGCTGTACGATGATGATGGTTTGCCACCCCACAAAAGGTATCTCGCCCCCCTAGTTTCTTGGATTATTTTGCTCCCATCCCTGAGATCATAGTTTTTAGGAATCTAGATAGCTGACGCATTAACGTTACGCCAGTTCATGAAGTTATTATTATTTTACCGGAATTATGTCGAAAAGTCACAACTTTCACCTCAGTATAGGTCTTATACTCCCATAGACTCTGTTCATTTAAACTGCCCTGACACTGAATGCATTGGCCTTTCAATCACACTTTCTTCAGACGTGTGTGAATATATATATATATATATACGGCAAATAAAGGTGTCAAAATATCAAATCGGACGGTGCAAACAACGCCGGGACCGAACGAATTTATTCGTCCTATGGAGGTGTTGGCCATTGGAAAAGTCGTTCCGGAAATATCACAAAACGTGGTTGAAACCTAATGACGCATTGTAATCACTTATTTCGCTTCCGGTTGATTCATAGAAGATTATGGACGCTAGCGCCTTCGGAATATGACGCGATGCAAACGTTCACTAAACAATTTATGTTGCCGGAAACGATATCACATTTCATTGTTTCCCTTGTTGTTGTCACCGATATCCACCCAATTTTTCTCTGTATTTCCGATTTCAAGCACAAGTTCCACGCATGATGATAGAGCGAATATGAGCATTTGGCGTACCGCTTCGAGCGCTGCTCTTAGACTTATTCGACGTTCAGTTTTCTATTCGCCGTCGTTGCATTCTGAGGAGATAGTCTAATGATTGGCGTCTTGTCACGGCCGTTCGACCAGTAGCGTTAATTCAAGGTGGTTAATCTGAACAAATATTGATGTTGAGTACTGAAATAAAACGTTTCCATCATCACCGTCATCTGTTACGTTGACAAGGTGTTTCAGATACCTTTTTTTTGTACTTCTACCTCCTGTTTCATTGTGATTGCATTCAGTGATTACAGTTTTCTTGTTATGTTCACTAAAACAGAATCGACTGTCACCCCAGGAGCTTTTTTATGGCATTTTTGAAGGCATCTTTGAAATGCGTTGGACATCGAAGCTCGTCTATAAGCATGATTGTCAACTTTAAACGCAGCCAAGTCTATGCGTTCGGTCCTTATTTATGTTTTCGAAAACGAATGGTTTGATCTCTCTTGTTGCTCTAACTACGCGCAGTGCGGTTACTCTTCCCTTGGATGTTCGATTGTCACTCCACGAATCAAATTTCAGATCAAAGCAACACGTTGTAATGGCTTTGAAGTAGCGACCACCATCATCACACTTGAAAATGGCCTTCGCTACGTAAGCTTAGCGAGATGATTAAACACGTTGATGCCAGATTGTCAACTCTTTATTTCAAACTTCTCAAGACTTACTGTTCAACACCATTAACCTATTCGGCCTACAATCCGGCACGCCATCTGCAACCGACTATGAGGATGAAGATGGGATATCCCCTCAATTCTCAAACCAATCTAACGAGAATAGATCAAGAATAAGGGATGATGGAACTCACCAATATTTAGCCGACATTGTCAAAGATGAACTAAGAATATGAATTGTGCATCGTCCTGCTGTGCTGTCGGGAGTTAGAATGATCTAATGTGCTCTTTACTCTTTATTGAATTGATCGACACAAGTTTTTCCACTAAACGGCGTAGTCATGTTCGAAGTGGTTCTTCTCTCAGTAAGCCTCGGCGGTAAAATCAGTCGCAACTTGGCATTATGTTCGTACGGAGGATGTGATTACCCTTTTTGTGGGCTACTGTATCTTATTTCAAGATTGATTTACGAGTGTGTCACGTTGAACTAGAAAATTATCAAGCGGTTAACCTATTAAACTGAGAACGAAACGCCGTGATTGCCTTTAGCACACCTCATTGGTCATACGATTGCACTACTTTCTAGCCGATGATTGGTCACCTGTCTTCCCACTTTCATCCTTTAAGAAAAAAGGACAGGCGTCAAATGTGCGGTGTGCCCTGCTGGCGGACGAACGCCGATCAAGTTGGTCGGAAAGGGGCGTGTAATCCACTCGACCTGAAACCAATAGGTGCATTTGCCGGCATACTGATTCCTTTTGGCTCTCGGCTGCATTCCGATCATGTGAGCTGCACTAGGGCCACCAATTCGCGCATAGGACAGACTGGTTTTATGACATATTTTACCAGTGGTGGTGCAGCGAAATCAGCGCGACCTCCGACCATTATCCTCTTTAGTTTTTATCTCGGGAGATGCTTGTTTTAAACTGAAAGAAATAATGCGACGGAAATGCTTGTAATGACCGGCAAGAAGCACCAGACAGCTGTTTCGTCCTCTTTGGGACTCGTCAGCATTGCTACTTTTCATGTTCCTGTCAAGTCTCCATCCGAGAACATTCGGGTTGGAACTTCAAACCCTTACCCCTCAGCTACACGGTCGACGGCCATCACCGTGTCTGAAAGAAATAGTATTCTGTTGAACTTCAAGTGCAACCGGTGAATTAAAACAGCGGTGCCATCAATGAACCTTTGAATTTCATAGTCCAGAGTGACCAAAGGGTGTCCAGTCATCAATCCGCATGGTCAGTACACTCTACCACCTTTGGCAAGGGTCAAATAAAATAAACCCATCTACTTTTCATCGCCCAAATTCGCCTGCTTAAATTTCAGGAACAGATATATTTTTCATGTTATGAATGTTTGACAGATGATCTAGCAAGCTTTCTTCGTGGGAGTGTGCATGTATACTTTTTTAGCCTTTTTTATTGGTCAATGTTTCCAACAGATTCTGCGGAGAATAGTCTAAACAAATAAGGTAATTTCTGAAGCACTCGTTATCATGTTGCGGATATTCCCAAGAATACTGAGTCCTTCTCTTCTTTTGAATGTTTCTTTTAACGCCTCGCATACAAGCAATTTTGCCGTACTATCGTGATGTACTACATTTGGGACAGTGTATGGCTTGGGTCAAATGATTAAGAAGATCCAATAAATTGAAATACCCTTTTGGAAAATTATAAAAGAAGAAAGTGAGACGACTAGTTCTGCATCAAGCGCTGCTGTGTACAAGGGCTTAGGTAAATGGGATTGTTTTGCACGGCTTCTGTGTCAGGTCGGAATTTTATCCACAGGGGGAAAATGATGCTGCAGTCAGCATTACCGGCGAATGCTACTCACCAAATTCATGGTCTTGTTAGGCATAGTTCATGGGTGAGGCTCCTATGCAAATTGGCATTTGTCATTTTTATAAGTTACGCTACAGTTCTGTAATGAAACTACAATATTCCTTATCATTTCACTCAAAATAACTCCATCTATTCGCGAATTTCTACAAACCCCAGATATATGGAGTCGTGTTTGATTTCTTTCTACTTTACACTGTTACACTTTTTACGTAACAAACCTTTGATGTGTTTTTTATCAATTTTCATGAAAAAACACATTAGTTGAGCGCTTTTTCCAATTTATGTTGTATTGTCCTTTTAACCTTTTTTCCATGGATTACATTTTCGAACGTGACCATCACTGTGCCAGTTCAATTTAATAAAATTTGCTTTCGAATGAGCCTTTTCATCCCAGTTCATGACTATCGAGTGTGATCAAGAAAACATCCAGAATCACTGCATTACTTTCTGATTCCCTTAGTTGTGTTACCGCATGTGTTCGACTGTCGTTTGCTTATTTTAAATCTAGTGACCTGATTTTCCGCTCTGTACAATTCATGAGCTAGTTTTGGTTAATCATACCGTTGTCACTCAGTCGTGATGCGTCCAGAAGTGAGGTTAACGACACAGTCCCATCAACCGTCGACACGTCGTTTATTGGGCACGTAGTTTACCCTTCATCTCAATGCTTCCTATCTATCGTATTCCATTGGGTTCTGGCAAACTATAGTCTCTGTTGGATTGTGAAACGATTGGTTTTCCAAACTAGTGGTCTACTATAGTACATGATAGGGGCGTGAAACCCCATGGGAGTGTATCTGAGATAATGGAGATGATAGTCACATTTGTCGATATGGGGTTGTCGGTCTTGGCGGGTAATCAATCAGCAGATGTATAAATGTCCAATAAGTGTTGGAAAAATCTGTTGAAACCGCCATCCGCTCAGCCGGTAGAACGTTTGGCGTTTTTTTATCACGACGTGATGTTACATGCGTTATGTGAACGTGAAGTGACATACAAGAAAAATCTATATCCGAAAGTCGTTTATGCATTGCATGAATGGCTGTTTGGTTCATTGAATGATTCACGAAGTTGCTCATTCAATGTGCATTTAAGGTGCATGAATGATGAGTCACGTAGACTGATACGTAGATTCACACGATGACTAATTTTTATTAAAATTTTTTTCCTCATAATAACACTAATTCGGTAATTACTTCAAAACGAAACACCTGGTTTCTTTGAGATAATATCTTATCGCCATTAACGCAACATCAAGCAATCCTTCCTAACCCTTTCAAAAACCGACATAGTGACTTTAAACGGAATATCTTTTTTTGGTACACTTGAAAGCACGAAAGTGGATAGAATATCTGATTTATAAATAAACCTGAGGGCTTCTATAGAACGATTTGAAAATATAATTGCTAAACCCGCCCTTGAAGTATATTTTAAAGAATCGCTTTAGCCATAACTATATGACTCGACAATTAAATCAGCTGCAGCAGTAAATCAGTATGATCCAAGTCATAAGTATTAATAGCTTTCGATGATCGAATTGTAGAGACTTGTAAGAATTTATTCCATAGCCTAACGGAATTTTAAACCTTTTCTCGTCTATCCAAATTTCCAGATCCTCGTCCACAGGTCGTGTTTTCAGTACACAGATACCGCCTTCTCTAATGGCTGGATTGCAGCTCAATCAGAGTGCTATGGTTGTTGGAGCTGGCACTGGACTTCGTGGGGACACAGGGGTACAGTCGGATCTAGGTCCAACCACTCGCTTAATCACTCAAGTTCGACCACAAACCGATCCAGCTCAGCGGAATCATCTCACTGATAGTCAGCTGTCTCCTGATACAAATGGTCGATCACTTGCCATGGGTATTCCCGTTCTGAGCGACCAACAGCTTCCTGGTGGTGGCCGTCAAACCATACACGGCATTTCGATTCGACAACGCAGAAGTTGTTCGATGGCCAGTGATGTGCCAATGTCCGGTACACTGCCTCGTGGTGCTTACCTCTTGTCCGCAACCGGTACCGCCAGTTCGGGAAGCTACACGATGAACAGTTCTCTTTCCGCTGATTCTCCGGCACAGTCAAACAGTTCCGCGGGGAGTCCTCAAGCAGATCGAAAACCGACAACTTTACCCGATTATCCGGCTCATTTTGTGATGCCAAGTCAATTACGAATGCAAGATTTGACTCTACGCCCATTGTCTGTGGCAAGTTTGGGTCCCATTGGAACATTGCCTCCGGGAACAGTTCCATTTACACAGGGTACATGGCGTACAGCTATGTCAAGACCAGCCAGCCCGAATCCGCCGGGAGTCCTTCTCACACAACAACCCGGTTAGTTCGCGACAGATGCATCGAGGTTAATCTCTTGAAGGTTTATTTTTTTGGTCCGTCATTACTGGGATATTTACGTTTATCACTACGAAGAGTTGCTTATGATGTCTTACACTCAGATCGGTACCATCCTCTTCTATGAAGAGCGACTAATTTTTCACTAGTAAACCTAACAAAAGGTCAACGAATAATGACGTAACATTACCTATACTACTTGCGAGTAGTATGTGACCGAACACAGTCTGTATCAAGGAATACTACTGACCATCAGATTGAAGAAAACATCCTTTACAGAAGACTGTTCACCCAACGTGTTGTGACGTGTTTAATAACACTTTTTTCAGTGTGCACCCCGTAACTTAAAATTTCAGCAAGGCAGCAACATAGGATCGGTAATTTTATCGCACTCGTTCATCGTAGAGCTTCCATGCGTATTGACGATATATTAAATAATTTGTCATATTTCAGCGTATACACGAATACCTGGAGAATTTATAAAATGAATCAGTCGGGTTTTGTTACAATTAGTGTGACTGCGTATCCGAGGTTTCGCTAGAAATTTTCAGGACCATTTGAAATGTTGAGAATGTCATAGACTTTGTTGTTCGAATGCTGTAGAAGTAGACTATCGCATGAAGAAAGTGCCAATAGTTTTCATTGTCTGTTGATTGCTACCATCAGGTATGTTATTTTTCAGTCATTCTAGCTACGACATTGGTTCCAGTGAAATCCAAATTATGTACTGTAATCTAACTTTCTTCTTTGTGCAAATGGTTCTTTGTCTATGCTTAACTACAGGCGGTCGTCCCTTGGGTGTTGCTGTTTTACCCACTGATCCATACTCCACTATGCAAGCCTCTCTGTTGGTCAATCCACAGTCAGTCTCCCAGTTAGGTGGTCTTCCCGTCCTGGCCGTTGGTTCCAGTGCTAATGCGACCACAGGTCCGAATCCAGCCACAGTTGCCTCCGTCAACGCCCGCATTTCACCTGCACCGACAGCATTCTCTGTGGCTGGGGCCTCAGCTCAATCCATTCGCAATCTCAGATTGCCAAGTGATCCATCACTGGCAGATCCCTCCCGTCTGGGATCCGCACGCCTCAAACTACCCCCGGGATACGCATTGTTGGCTGGAACTGCACCGGGCACAATGGGTGGTCGCATCATCTACATTGATCGCAATACCGGAAGGGTAACTAAATGTCATTGTTGATCTTACTGCCGATTTTCCCTTCACAACTCTCTTGAGTTATTTTATTCGGAAAACCCTAAACTGATTATGTACATAAATTGTATTTCTGAACTTATTATCCGAAGTTTACTGTATCAATGGATAGCCCGTAGAGGTTCAGGATTTTCGATCTAGAAATATGGGTTATTTTACTCTGGTTATAGCAGAATAATGTTTGACTTGGACACGATGTAATCAATATAGGAGTTCAATGGTGAGGTTTCAACAAGCTCTCAAGCTCTATAGTTAACAATTGCGACGCTTTAGGTTACCCCATTATGGATATTTTGCATATGTGCGAGCTTCTGTGTTCATGTAAGCTCGATTATAACATGTGACGGGTGTTGGAGTGTGATGATTATGATGATAATATGATACGTGAGGTCAAGTGGTGTGGTGGGACACAAGAGTAACCCCAGGTCACCGGAATTTCGGTCACCCCTGTGGAATTCGGTGTTAATCCACGAACATTTAGAGTTCAATCGCACTTTCCGAGTGCAGGAGCTTTGTCTCAAAACCGTGGGTATGAGTAAGTCCAGCGGATATTCTTATGATCCGGCTTATGTCCCCTAACGGTTATATGCTTCCTCAGCCCATAATATTCTATTAACTCACTAACTTTTCACCTGATGAAAACCGTACCTAACCGTTCTTGTATGCCAGACAGCTGATTATTGCAGAAACATGGAACCTGTTGAGTACAATGAAATAGAAACTTATTTCACCTATTTCCCGACAGGATTGGTGCACCGAACGGTTGGACACATCACTCTCCTCTCTTTCTTAGAAAGGAACAAGTTAATGAATTTCCAGTGAACGATATTCCTTTGCGAGAGGTAACTCAAAAACACCTTTAATGTAGCCAAAGGGTTAAACTATCCCACTGTTTCACCTACGTCCTAGCGCTTCTTACCAATCGACTACTTATGTTAAACGTTAAATTTTCCAAGCAGCACTACGAAGCCATGAGTGTCCGCTCATATTGAAAATTATATATATATATGCAATACGTTGTAGGGGTGGGGTGCCTATCGGATACACTCCGTATTCTCTCAATGTGGATACACTATAGTTGCTCGCTTGTTTAACTTTTAACTAAACAATTTAAACAGCTGTGCCTGGTTGATCAAGAGGATTTCTGAATGTGACTAATCTGTGAGAAATTATCTACTAATAAGATTCACATAAGTTTGAATCATCTTTAAAGAGGATAACGTCCACCATCGTCAAGACCAACGACATTTGATGATAACCCGCTAATACGTTGTTGTATCGGTGATATTGGACAACTCATAAATGCAATGGACGAGACTGCACCTTGACGTGGTGTGATGGCTTGCGTGCCTCCATGACCGGATAGCTACACAGGATTGCTTTTCACAGCCGTAGATCCAATCATACCTGAAAGGTCAACGGGTAGAGGCCAGACGAAGCTCAGTCTCACAAAGCTAGCTGCTTGGACACCTCCTGACTTCCTTTTCTATCCACACTCGCCTCTGGAGAGGTCACTCCAGTAAATAAACACGGTGAGGGGCAGTTTACCGGTCAAAAAACCCAGTTAGATGGACGTAGGACCGCGGTACCTGGGGCTTCCTCTCGACGGTAGGAGAAATCTTCGNTGTCCCGTCCACGTTCTGCTTGACTCATTGAGTGCATGAAGCCAAGGGCGATCCCCAAAAGCGAACCGACAATCAACCCACCAGCGAACAACAATCTTAACCGAAAACCGAAGGCATTGCGTGACAGGTCTCTAGAAGCTCCCACACGGGTGCTTTGTTCACACTCCCTCGTTGGATT